TCTTGCTTGCACAATTCCACCCGAGTGAGACACGTGCTCACTTTTCTGCCAGCGTGGCCGTCACCTTTCCGCACTCTGAGAGCTGGCCATGGCCATCAGTGACGGAGCTTACATGTGAGTGCCAGCACCACCTCCCTGTGTCCAGAGAGACTGGCATGGAGTGCTTATCAACAAGGTCTTACCGTCACTCTCCGGAGGGCAGCCAAGAGGACTGGCGACAGCTTCTAATGCTCCAGTGTCTTGGGGTCCTATTGGCCAACAACTCACAAAGAGGCAGCCCTTGCCTGATTCTGGCGGTTTTTAAATCTTTATTTGCCAGCATGCAGTGTCTGGTTGGGGTATTGTTCCCTTGTAGGATATCTCCCTTAAAACTTGCTATGTATGGCGGGGCTGTGATGGTGCACGTACGCCTTTAATTCCAGCACTGGGGAGGCAGAGGCAGGCAGAACTCTGTGAGTTCAAAGTCAGCCTGGTCTACAGAGGGAGTTCCAGGAAAGGCTCGAAAGCCACACAGAAAAACCCTGTCTTGGAAGACAAAAAGAAGGGCTGGAGAGATGGTTCAGAGGTTAAGAACACTGGCTGCTCTTCCAGAAGTCATGAGTTCAATTCCCAGCAACCACATGGTGGCTCACAGCCAGCCATCTGTAATAGTATCTGGCGCCCTCTTCTGGCCTGCAGGTATACATAGAGACAGAATATTGTATACATAATAAATAACTTAAACCCAACTTGTTATTATATTTTAAGATATTTCTATAGTAGTAGGTTTCCATATGGCCTTTGTTTTTAAACTCTTTTTTTAAAAAAGATTTATTTATTTATGTATACAGCATTCTGTCTGCATGGATGTCTGCACACCAGAAGAGGGCACCAGATCTCATTACAGATGGTTGTGGGCCACCATGTGGTTGCTGGGAATTGAACCCAGGACCTCTGGAAGAGCAGCCAGTGTTCTTACCAGCTAAGCCATCTCTCTAGCCCTCTATATGGCTCTTTAGAAAGGACTTTATTGTTAGTTATTCCTCCCCATATTGCCTCTTGCCCTCCTATCTCTGACCTTGGTTTAACCCGTCCTGTTCCATTATTCCCCTTCAAGCCTATCCACCACGGTGCTCCCACTTCCCTCCCTTACAAGCCTGGCCCACCCGGCCTCTGCAGATATTTCAAGTGAACACACATAGCTGAGGACCTAAAGCTACATCTACAAATGAGAGAAAACATGTGACGTTTGTCTTTCTGTGACTGGGTTACCGCACTTAAAATAATTGTTTCTAACTCCCTGGTTAATTTGATGCCAACTTGACACGAGCTGGAGTCGTCAGAGAGGAGGGAGCCTCGGCTGAGAAAATGCCTCATAAGATCATAAAATCAGGAGGGCAGTAGCGCATTTTCTTAATTACTGATTGACAGGGAGGCCCAGCCCATTATGGGTGGTGCCATCCCTGGGCTGGTGGTCCTGGGTTCTATCAGAAAGCAGGCTGAGTGCCAAGAGAAGCAAGCCAGTAGGCAGCATCCTCCATGGTCTCTGCATCAGCGCCTGCTTCCAGGTTCCTGCCTTGTGTGAGTTCCTACCCTCCTGGCTTTTGATGATGAACAGCTATATGGGAATGCAACTGACATAAACCCTCTCTTCCCCAAGTTGCTTTTGGTTTGTGGGTTTTTTTTGTTTGTTTGTTTTTAAAATATTTATTTATTTATTATGCATACAATGTTCTGTTGTGTATGCCTGCAGGCCAGAAGAGGGCACCAGATCTCATTCCAGATGGTTGTGAGCCACCATGTGGTTGCTGGGAATTGAACTCAGGACTTTTGGAAGAGCAGGCAATGTTCTTAACCACTGAGCCATCTCTCCAGCCCCTTGGTTTGTGTTTTATCACAGCAATAGTGACCCTAAATAAGACCCCCTCCATTTGAAACAGGGTCTCTCTGCATTGCCCAGGCTAGTTCTGAACTCTTTCTGTTTGTTTTTCGAGACAGGGTTTCTCTGTAGCTTTGGAGCCTGTCCTGGCACTAGCTTTTGTAGACCAGGCTGGCCTTGAACTCACAGAGATTCTCCTGCCTCTGCCTCCTGAGTGCTGGGATTAAAAACATGCACCACTACTGCCCAGCCCTGAATTTACTCTTTAGTTGAGGCAGGCTGGTTTTGATCTTATAGGCCTGTGACTTTATTTTATTTTTTAATATTTATTATGTATACAATATTCTGTCTGTGTGTATGCCTGAAGGCCAGAAGAGGGCGCCAGATCTCTTTACAGATGGTTGTGAGCCACCATGTGGTTGCTGGGAATTGAACTCAGGACCTCTAGAACAGCAGGCAGTGCTCTTAACCCCTGAGCCATTTCTCTAGCCCCAACATTTAAATAATTTGCTTTATCAAATAAGTTATTTATTGCAATATTCTGACAGCACATTACTTTTCCTTTTCAGCACCTTGCTCGGCAGCTTCCTTCACCCTTTTTGCTCGGATGCCAAAGAGCTGGGCATTGGCCCGGAAGTTCCTCTCTGCTGGGATGGTGCTAGCTTTTGCCTGTTTGTAGACACTGCTTTTTATGGGCATCACCGGTCTTGTTAGCTGGGTGGCCAATTTAAGGTCTTCAGCAGAACTACCTCCCTTCTTCGGAGGAGAAGGCTTCCTGGGGGAAAGTATGAGCTTGGACGAGCTTGGAGCGGTTACTCCTACAGGCACTGAGCATTGGATTTGTTTTGTCTCTGTGGGTCCAGAGACCCAGCCACCCCGAGTTCTTCTAGGCTGACCCACCTGCCAGCTCACTCTAGGGCACCTCACTATGGGCCTGCTGGAATCCCAGTGGGGCAAAGGGCAATGCGGGTAAGCTTTTGCCTGTCGTACCTTGCTTCTGCGGACTTTGCCTGCTGGCTGGTTAAACCAAGTGTCCATGCGCTGCTGCTAATTCTTCTAGAAGTGGGCCCCCAGGACTGTGCTGTTCTGGCTGAACGCCATGGCTATCTCCTGTGCAGGAGAACGGCCAAGAGGAAAGCCCGTTTATTTTAGATCAGACCGTCTGCAGATTTAGAGGATCCGCCTGCCTTTGTGTCCTTAGCACTGGGATTAAAGGATTGGGCCACCAGTCCCAGCTGTAAATTATTTTTAAGGGGGGCGGGCAGCAAGATGGCTCAGGGGATAATGGCATCTGCTGTGAGGTTGAAGCCTGGAACCCCTGGAACTCTGGGAGAGAACCAACTCCCATGGGTTGTCTTTTGAACTCCACTGGCACCATGGCACACACATACCTAAATAAAATGTAATAGTAATAATTGGGCTGGAGATGGTTCAGTCATTAAAGTTTAGGCTCACAATCAGTAATAATATTGACACACTTATAATTCTGCCACTTGAGGGCCCTAAGCAAGAAGATTCCAAGTTTGAGGACAAAGTAGACAACATTGTTTACCTCAAAGTTCCCTATCATTATTTATCTATTTACATTTATTGAGAGTCCCACTCTAGCCCTACTTGGCCGACTTTACAGTGTAATCATAGCTAGGCTCAAAGTAGTGGCAATCCTACTGTCTGGCCTCCAAAATGCTGGAATTACGTAGGTAAACCATGGCCAGCTTTATAAATTCAAATCTTCCTGTATATCTCTGAGCAAATTAGGTACACTCAATAACTTGATCAAAGTTCTAATTTTTTAAATTTTGAAATGCTACTTTAATTTTTACATGCAAGGTGTTTTGCAGGCATGTTCATCTGTGTACCACATGCATGTCTGGCACTCTTCAAGGTCAGATGAGGGTGCTAGAGCCCTGGAACTGGAGTTACAGATAGTTGTGAGCTACTGTATGGGTGCTGGAAGCTGAACTGAGCTCAGAAGAGAAACCAGTGCTGACAACCCAAGCCATCTCTCCGGCCCAACTGTTTAGATTCTGCCGGGGCGGTGGTGGGGCAAACCTTTAATCCCAGCACTAGAGGCAGAGGCAGGCGAATCTCTGCGAGTTTGAGGCCAGCCTGGTCTACAAAAGCTAGTTCCAGGATAGGCTCCAAAGCTACAGGGAAACCGTCTTAAAAAACTAAAAAACAGGGCTGGAGAGATGGCTCAGCGGTTAAGAGCATTGCCTGCTCTTCCAAAGGTCCTGAGTTCAATTCCCAGCAACCACGTGGTGGCTCACAACCATCTGTAATGAGGTCTGATGCCCTCTTCTGGCACACACAAAGAATATTGTAAGCATAATAAATAAATAAATAAATAAATAAATAAATAAATAAATAAATATTTTAAAAAAACCTAAAAAACAAAAAAACAAAACAAAAACACCCCAGCCCAAACCCCTACCATTCATCAGGCGGTGGTGTTGTACACTTTTAAGCCCAGCACTCTGGAGGCAGGCAAATCTGTGAGTTCAAAGCTAGTCTGGTGTTGAAATAGGAGCAGCGGGGCTGCGTCCCCAGCACCCCGGCCGCCTGCTAGCTTATGCCCGAAATAACAACACACAAACTGTATTCATTTAAGCACTGCTTGGCCCATTTCTATCTAGCCTCTTCTAGGCTAATTCTTGCACCTGGACTCGCCCATTTCTAATAATGTGTAAGCACCCCAAGGTGTGCTTACTGGGAAAATTCTAGCCTACATCCTGGGGCAGAGCTGCCTGGGAGAGCGGAGCCTGGTGTCTCTGCTCCAGAGAGCAGAGCTGTCAAGTCTGAGCTCACTTCCTCTTCCTCCCAGCATCCTATTGTTTACTCCTCCCACCTATGTTTTAACCTATCAGGGCCAAGGAGTTTATTGCTTAACCAATGAAATCAACAAATTGATATATGACACTCCCACATCAGTCTGGTCTACAGATCAAGTTCCAGGATAGCCAGGTCTACCCAGAGATACCCTGTCTTGAGAGAAAACAAACAAAGCATGCCTCTTGACAGCAGAATTTAAGAGACTTGTTTTTGCTCCTGCATCAACCTTTTTTGTGCTTTTCCAAGCAGACTGAAGGGTCTCGGAAAGTCTCCCCTTTCTGAGCCCCCAATAAGCAGTACACATACAGACTTTTGGTCAAAATTAGTAAACTTTATTTAAATTCCAAAAAAATAACAGACAAAAGGCAGTTTAAGCTTTGTTCTTCCAGATCATTTGTATGACCCAAAGCAGGATGTTAAAATGCCTTTAATCCCAATCAAGTCACAGACAAGCAAAGACCTTCACTGTGAAGTCAGGCATGGAAGAGTGGGGTAACAAAACCCTGTAGCTTCAGTGAGTCCCAAGACAGATGAGAGAAGAACAGATGGAAAAGCCCCAGCAAAAGTGGGATCCAGAACTTCAGAGGATTCTGTCACAAGGAGTTATGTACAAGGGAACCAGGTTAGGGTCACAACTTGAAGGAAGTGACTTTGTAGGCCACTGAGTTGTCTGACCCTAACCTGCTGCCGCTGTGCCCTGCTCAGTTTTCCTCATCACTGTCATCTGGGCTGATGGCTGGGCTGGTGAGGCTATAGGTGGGGCTAGTGGGCGAGTAGCCAGGGGAAGTGGGCGAGTAAGTGGAGCCCTTGGGAGAGGTGGGCGAGTAGGTGGGACTGGTGGGCGAGTACTTGGGGGAAGTGGGTGAGTAGGTGGGGCTAGTTGGTGAGTACTTGGGGGAGGTTGGGGTGTAGACTGGAGAAGTCGGTGAGTATGTGGGAGAGGTTGGCGAGTATTTTGGGGTGGTAGGTGAGTAAGTAGGGCTTGTAGGAGAATACTTGGGAGAAGTAGGTGAATATTTAGGGCTTGTAGGTGAGTATTTGGGAGAGGTTGGGGTATACTCTGGAGAGCTGGGACTGTAGGAAGGACTAGTTGGGGTATACTTGGGTGAAGTAGGGCTGTAGCTGGGAGAGCTGGGGCTGTAGCTGGGAGAGCTTGGTGTGTAGGTTGGAGACTGTGGTGTGTACCGTGGGCTGGAGGGAGAGTAGCTTGGTGAGGTGGGGGAGTAACTGGGTGAAGTTGGGGAATAGCTTGGAGAGGTTGGGCTGTAGTTAGGGCTGGTCGGTGTGTAGTTTGGACTAGTAGGTGAGTAGCTAGGTGATGTTGGGCTGTAGCTGGGCGATGTAGGGGTATAATTGGGACTAGTTGGAGAATAGTTAGGGCTGGTGGGTGAGTAACTTGGAGAAGTTGGTGAGTAGCTTGGAGATGTAGGAGAATAGCTTGGAGATGTTGGTGAGTAACTGGGCGAGGTGGGAGAATAGCTTGGTGATGTTGGTGAGTAGCTGGGAGATGTTGGGGAATAGCTTGGGGATGTTGGGGAGTAGCTGGGAGAAGTTGGCGAGTAACTGGGAGATGTTGGTGAATAGCTTGGAGATGTTGGGGAGTAACTAGGAGAGGTTGGGGAGTAACTAGGAGAGGTTGGGGAGTAGCTAGGAGAGGTTGGCGAGTAGCTGGGAGAGGTTGGCGAGTAGCTAGGAGAAGTAGGGCTATAGTTGGGACTGGTTGGAGAGTAAGATGGAGAGGTTGGGGAGTAGGAAGGTGAAGTAGGGGAATATGAGGGGCTCTGGGGTGTATAGCCCCCAGGGGAGCGTGGCTCATACGCAGGTGATGTTGGTGAGTAGCTGGGAGACATAGCACCGCCTGCAGGAAGAAGACAAAAAGGAAGGTAAGTGATGGAGAGCCTGACATAGAAGGAAGGAAGGAATGAAGAAGAAACGAGTGTAGCAACTCACCTGGGGAGGGGATGTATGGACTTGAGGGTCCAGGGGAGCCTGGAGAGCCTGGTGTGGGAGACCATGCAGGAGAGTAACCTGGGCTGAAGCCACTGGCATCAGATGCAGCACTGGGCGAGAAGCCAGCTGCTCCTGGGGTCATCCCACTCCCTGGAAGGAGAGCAGGTGAAATCAGCTGTAGCTCAATCACACACCTTTCCCCAGCCCCCACAGCCTCTTGAACCTAATGGTTCTCTTCCTGAACTAGGCTACTCACCAACACTTGGGGACCAGGCACCATAGGCTGGGGTTGCACCCTGGTTCCAGGGTGTCATTGCAGGAGATATTCCTCCCATTGGACTGGGTGCAGAGCCAAAGAACATTCCAGTAGCTGCAAGAAGCCAAGAGTAATTCATTAGGAACAGCCCCCTGGGGCTAATGGAACCCTCCCCTATCCTCCACAGACCCAGCCAGGTCTAGCAGCCAAAGCCCTGGGACTCACGTCCGGCAGCCCCTAGGCCAGGGATATTGGTTGGGATCTCCATGCCATATTTGCACTTCTCAGCATCAAGCAGGAGGTCAAAACACCCAGTGCCAGCTGGAGCAAGCTGGCCTAGCATGATGTTCTCAGAGACTCCCTTCATGGGGTCACTCTCCCCATGGGCAGCTGCTTCCATAAGCACGTCCACCTGAACAACAAGAGACACATCAGTTCCTCTACATACAGCAGCCACAGTGATTCAATCATCACCACAGTGAAGGGCAGTGCCCACAACCACTGCACCTGCTCTGAGAAATTGCCTTTACTAAGCTAGGCATGATGGCTCATGCATTTAATCCTAGCACGTGGGAAGCAGAGGCAGAAGGATCTAAGTTCAAAGCCAGCCTTGTCTATGCTGTGAGTTCCAGTCAGGGTTCCACGATGAGACACATCACACACACAGTGATAAAATGACACTGTCATGCAGCGAGGCAAGTGCCTCATGCTTGTTTTGTCAGCCAAGCCCTCAGAAGGTTGAGGGAGGAGCATGACAAGAGAGTTTAAGGCTAGGCAGGGTGACACAGTGAAGTCCTACCTCTGGAAACCAGTGTGTGGGGGAGGGGGGCGGGGGGGGACGGAAGGACACACACACATGCATGTGCATCTCCTTGGTAAGGCTGCCATTACCGTTTCCTCAAAGGAGCATTTCATGAGCGGTCCAGTGTCCTGGCGGTTGACTCCGTGACGAGTGATGGCCATCAAGTGGCCGCGACAGGTCATGGTGTCACACAAGAGAGCCAAATGCCGATAATTGACATAGGAACCGTCAAAGGAGATGACATGGTACAGTTCCCGCTCTAGAGCCTTCCGCACAGCCTCAATACCCAGCACCTGCCACAGAGTTGAAGAAGAGTCAAGATTAAGTTGGTTCTGTTCATCTCCCTGATTCTGTCACTGCCCAGACTGTCAGGAGGATAGCAGGGCTCAGCCCATCTTAAACTCAAAGACTTCTAGGTATGGTGCCGTGGGCTTACCGTGAAGATCTCCACGATATCATTGGACGTGGTGCGCACAGGGTCCACATCCTTCTCGCTCAGCACCCGCATCAAGCTCACACCATCAGTCTCCAAGATCCATTCTTGCAGGGCCTTGAACTCTCCATCTTCTGTGATAATGATCTTCTTCTTGTTGTCAGTCTGAGGTAAGTGCATGTACACCTGGAGGAACAAAGTGAGCCCCAGTCAGGTCAGGAGGGAGACAAGGACGAGGCAGCTGGCCATGGGGTGGAGGGGAGTGGAGGCGGGCAGAGGGGTCTCGAATGCTCACCTTGCTAATCTGCTCGATCCCCTGCAGGGTCATATCTGTCAGCATGTTGGACTCAATACACCGCAAGAAAACATCATCATCCATCTTATCCACCACCTCTTCTTCCTGCAACAAGAGTGAGGTCAGGACCCAGCACCTTTGATTTCTTCCCTGCTCCCTCCCCAAACAACAGCCTTCCAAAAAAACCTGCTTCCTTGGCTCTACTAAGACTCTTAGCTTTTTAAAATAACTTTTAAGAAAATGTATATATTTGCTTTATGTTTACGAGTGTTCGTCTACCAGTATGTCTATGTACAATACACCTGCCTGGTGCCCTTGGACCTCAGAAGGCACCGACACCCTGGAACTTGTTACTGATTGGGACCCACTCTGCGGGCTCTGGGGTGCTCTGTAAGAGTAACAGTATCTCCCCCGCTCCACAGGATTTCTCTGTACAGTCTTGGCTGTCCTGGTACTTGCCCTATAGACCAGGCTGGCTTTGAACTTGATAGATTCGCCTGCCTCTGGCTTCAGAGTGTTGGAATTAAAGGTGTGTACCGTCACCACCAGGCTTGACAAGTAATTTTTATGTGTATGGGTATTTGCCTGCATATATGTCTACATATTATGTGAATGCAGTGCCCATATAGGCCAGAAGAGGGCATCAAATCCCTCGAAACTGGAGTTAAAGACAATTGTGACCACCATGTGTTGGGAACTGAACCCAGGTCCTCTGAAGAGCAGCCAGTGCTCTTAACCAAGTCGTCTCTTCAGCTCCCAAATGACCTCATTTAATGAACATATCACGATATGCTATTTAATGAACATATCACGATATGCTATTACTTTCATAATTATTCTAAGCCAATAGTAAGTTCTTCATGTCATGCAGCCAGGCATTGCAAAGCTCATCTATAATCCTAGTAACTGGCAGATGAAGGCAGGCAATTACAAGTTTAAGAACAGAGATATGACTTAACATTGAGGAACCCTGGAATGGCTGGAGACGGCTCCGTGTTTTTTTTTTTTTTTTTATTTATTTATTTATTTATTTATTTATTTATTATGTATACAATGTTCTGTCTGTCTGTATGCCTGCAGGCCAGAAGAGGGCACCAGACCTCATTACAGATGGCTTTGAGCCACCATGTGGTTGCTGGGAATTGAACTCAGGACCTTTGGAAGAGCAGGCAATGCTCTTAACCGCTGAGCCATCTCTCCAGCCCCCGGCTCCGTGTTTAAGAGCATTTATTGCCCTTTTAGAGGATTTGGTTCCTAGCACCCACATGGTGACTCACAATGACCTATAACTCTAGTGCCAGGTGATCCAACAGCTTCTTCAGACCTCCAAGGGCACAAGGCATAGTTGTGATGATATACACATATGGAAACACCTCCACACACCTAAAATTAACAAAAAATTTAGCTGGGTGTGGTGACAGCACTTTTAAAATTCACACTCAGGAAGCAGATGGATCTCGAGGCCAGCCTGGTCTAGAAGAGCTAGTTCCAGGACAGAAACCAAAAAAAATCTACGGAGAAACCCTGTCTTGAAAAAATAAAAACAAAACAAATACATAAATAAATTTAAGAAACAAAAAGATGGAGTACTAGGGCTGGATGTGGTGGCACACGCCTTTAACCCCAGCGCTAGGGAAGCAGAGGTGAACCTGGTCTACGGAGCGAGTTCCAGGCCAGGCTCCAAAGCTACACAGAGCCCTGAAAAACCATGACCACACCCCTTCCGTAAGTGATCGGAGCAGCACTAAAGCACGACGCCCCGGTTAAGAGGACTTACTTACTGTGACTGTCTGGTCCTCTCTAATGCTGAGATACAACTTACAATTTAGATTTATCCTCCTTTATCTACCCAGCCACAACTCTCCAAAGTAATGCTTTCTGTTTCCTCCCACCTTCTAAACTTGAAATAGCAGAAATCACAACTATCCAAACTGTGGATGGCACACACTTGTAATCACAGCACTCCTTCTGGGGCTCAAGGAGGGAAGGCCATCATTTACCTGGGCTACACAGCCAGAACCTGACTCCAATCCACCACCACCACAGTAAAGCTCAAGGGAATCTGGAATCTATGAGCCATGTAGCTATTTCCAGACCAGCACCACCTCTCCGGAGTTACACGTCAAACATGGATCCTTATGCCTACTGTATACCATTTCCCAAGAACACAATCATTCTTATTATCCGATTGGCTCCCAAGGCTGAAGTCTCTGCTGCTTTGGACAAGCTGTAGGAGCTCTGGGAGGAGAGCCAAGTGGCAAAGAGATGAGCACCTTTCTCAATGCATTCTACTGTCTATCTGGATGTTGTGATTTCACTTTAAGGATTTTGTTATTGTCGAAAGTCTTGAAAATCATTAACCAGCTGTTTCCTACACTGTACCAGGTAGGTGTGACTGGACCTCTAATGCTCTCACATCTTAATGATTAATGACATAGAACTGAACGATTCTCTAGGATGCATCATCTTTTCCCCTTGGGTCCTCACTTACCTCCTGCATCTTGTTTTCATCACTGTTCATAATGCGGATACGAAGGACCAACTTCTCTGCGTTATCATCATTGAAGATGCAATTCAAATCATCACCAAAACCTGGTGGGAACAGTAATGCACCATGAGAGATAACCTATTTAACTGCTTCCTAGTTTCATTTCATGTACAGTTTTTGGCTCAGAAGGAACTCTTGGGTTATTCCTCCTCATGGAGACTTCTCAAACACTTCTGTACAAACAGGAAAGGGATCAAGGGTCAACGAGACGTCTTAGGGGTAAAAGCATCACTTGCTTGGCAAGCATTAGGACCTGGGTTTGGAGAGCTCCAGTACCCATGTAAAGGCCAAGTGCAATGCTGGGGAGGGAGAGGGGAATCCTAGAGACTCATCAGTCATCCAATCCAGCCCAGATAAAACAGAGGGTTCCAGGTTTAGCCAGAGAGCTTATCTCAAGACACAAACACACCCCACACATATTTATATTTGGTGGAGAGTGATATAGAAGACACACCCAATATCAACCTTTGCCCTTCAGATATCCAAGTGTGCCCCTCAAAAAATGCATGTTCATTGCACACACATGCAAATGCACACACCCAAACCAAACCCAAAACACACTGGAAAGAGAAACAAGTACAGAAAGGACCTGCAAGAGTTAAGGATCCTGGAAAAGGCCTGTTGGAAAGCAGAGGTGTTTACAAGTGGGTAGATGACTCTTGGTAGAAACCTAAGTGGACACCTGTGTGGGCTGCCCACCCAGCCTTACCTGCATTGATTTTTTCGGCTATCTGCTCCATAGTGAGCTTCCGATCAGTCATGTGCTTTCGGTCCAGCTCCACCCGTAGCAGCCAGGGGGATATTCGGGCCACATCAAAGTCAGGCATCTCATAGTATACATTCACCCATTCCTGATCCTCTGCTACCACTGTGCTCTGGGGGTTGGGGTCATAATAGATGGCTGTGTTGGCAGTCACTTTTCTTAATGTTGTATGTTCCAAGCGGCATAGAATGTCCTAGGAAGAGATAGTGATTCATTACATGACACAGGGGTAGCTCAAAAGGCCTAGTGAAATCCTCAAATAAAAGCATTTTTGATTCAACCTTTTCTTGCCAGGCAGTCCATTATCCCGATTCCTACCTTGGCCCGCTCGGCATCTCGAGCAGATTGGCCTAATAGGAAGACAGTGAGCGAAGGGGTCTTTGGCTTCTTGGAAATATTGATGAGCTCCTTAAGTCGAGGAACACCCAGAGTCACATTCTTGGCAGACACACCAGCATAGTGAAAAGTGTTCAGAGTCATCTGAGTGGCAGGTTCTCCAAGGGACTGTGCAGCCAGAGCTCCCACCATTTCTCCAGGATGGGCCTATGGAAAAGTTGGCACCAGACAAAGCTTATTGTGCAAGCAGTGGGATGCAGTTAGGGTGAGCCTATTTGTTAACTACAGAGAAACCTGAGGAGATGAGTGTAGCAAGGAAAGGACACTTAAAACTTAGCCTTCCTTGATTACTTCCTTTACTAAGGCTTCACTTTATAACCTGTTAGTGCCCTCACTCTGGGAAATGTTGCATAAACTGCTTCCTAGTTTCATTAAAGAAAAATAGATACTATTGACATACCAAATGCATTCTTTCTCTCTAAAGAAATTTTTATGTCTGTGGGTGTTTCGCCTGCATGTGTGCCTGTGCAGCGTGTATATGCTGGTGCCCACAGAGGCCAGCAGTTAGATCCTATGACTGAAGTTACAATTATGAACCATCATGTAGGTACTAGGATTGAACTCAGGTCCTTTGGAAAAGTAGCCATTGTTGTAAACCACTGAGTCATCTCTCCAGCCCACGTCTACAACCTCCACGAGGCCTATATGTGTGTGTATGTGTAAGCTCATGCATGTCATGGCACACATGTGGAGGTCAGAAAAAAGTTAATGCTTGCCAGGTTGGGTGGCACACACCTTTAATCCCAGCACTTGGGGAAGCAAAGGCAGGCAGATCTCTTTGAGTTCAAGGCCAGCCTGGTCTACAAGAGCTAGTTCCAGACAGCTCTTGTAACCTGTCTCCAAAGTCAATGCTCACCTTACGTCACGGGGGCTCATGGAGGTTATGGAGACAGACACAGGTTCTCAGGCTTGGTGGCAAGTACCATTACCTGTTGAGCTATTATATACTAGTTCTGTTTGATCTTTCAAAGATGAATTTGCTTATTCTGAGTCATTTGTATTTCCATATGGATTTCATTAGGATCAACTTGTAAATTTGTGCCTTAAAAGCCCACTGCAATTTTGTAAGGACTGTGCAAAGTCTACAGATACTTTGGAGATTAGAGACATTTAATAACATCTGAATTTAGGGGTTGTCTTTCCATTTAAGTTACTCTTTCAATGGTGATGTATTTCCTATTATTATAATTTGGTTTTTCGAGACAGGGTTTCTCTGTGAAGTCCTGGCTATCCTGGAACTTGCTAATGTAAACCAGACTGGCCTCAAACTCAGAGATCTACCTACCTCTATCTCCCGAGTTTTGGGATTAAAGGTGTGCACCACCACCTGGCTATAATGCTTTTTTTTTTTTTTAAATGTGCACTGGTACTTTACCGGCATGTATGTCTGTGAGAGAATGTCAGATCCTCTGCAGGTGGTTATAGGTACTTATGAGCTGGGAATTGAACCCAGATCCTCTGCAAGAATAGCCAGTGCTCTTAACCACTGTGCCATCTTTCCAGCCCCTCTAATGCATTAACTAATATGTCGACCCTAGATTCATCTTAGATTCAGAAGTATGTCAGTTATGTTTCCCTTTTAACTTTTACTTGCACATATGTGTGGCCGGTACCCACAAGGGTCAGAAGAGGACAATGGATGCCTGGAAGTAGAATTTCAGATTTTTTTGGGTTACCATGTAGGTAAATTAAATCCACATCCTATGCAAGAATAACAAGTGCTTTAAACAACTGAGCCATTTTTCCAGTTCCCATTATTATCATTATCATTATTATTATGAGACAGGGTTTCTCTGTGTAGCTCTGGCTGTCCTGGAACTTTCTCTGTAGACTAGGCTGGCCTCAAACTCAAGAGATCTGTCTCTGCCTCCCAAGTGCTGGGACTAAAGGCATGCATCACCACACCCATCCATTATTACTTTTAAAATGTATATGGGTATTTTGCTTATGTGTATGTCTTTGCACTACTTTTTTGCCCTGTGCCTATAAAGAACCAGACAGTTGTGAGCACACGTTGAGAATTGAACCTAGTTCCCCTCAGGAGCAACAAATGCTTAGCCACCTCTCTCCAGTTCCATTATAATGCCTTTCCATCCTTCCATTATTCTCTAAAATCCTCAAAGACAATGAAAACCTGGTCCAGTGCTTACAATTTCTTTTCTACTAACTTCTTTTATTTCCTATATTTATCTGAATTAGAATTCTCATACAGTAGTAGACACTGTAGGAAAATAAAGACTGTTCTAATTTCATATCCTAGTCATGACACAAATTTTCTGAATAAGCACTGCTTGGTGGTCACTTCAGATGAAGCTCAGTTTCTTTCACATGGGACTGCCAATCCCTGTTCCTTTTAATGTTGCTGTGATACAATGGCATAGCTGTGCATAGCAGCCTTGCAAAGATATCAAGCAATGTGGAGAGAAATGGGCAATTGCTGGGAACCAGAGAAACCAATAAGAAAAAGGAATAAAACTCAAGGCTGAAGAGAAACATCAACACTCACAATGGCTTGGTTGAACTTGGACTCTATCTCCCCAAGCAGCCAGTCAAAGGCCTCTCCACTTAGCCGGAACTCCTCAGCCATGCGTCTGGAGCAGAGTGTGGATCTTAGGTGGATGTTGAAGAGCAACGTGGCATTCTCCTGCGCCTGCCGACTTAGTGGATCATCCCCGTTCACGATGACCAACTTTTTGCTTAATTCCTTGACTCCTGGGGCCCAATGAGGCAAAGAGATTGTCAGAGCAGGCCATAGCAGACTCTCACCCTCCAGTCTAGCCTTGAGACATCAACGTGGCACTACTTACCCTCTACCACTTTGATGGGGTGCAGGTCAGAGGGAAGCCGAGGGTTGATGTGGAAGATTTTCTGAGCATTCCAGATCATACGCAGGAGGTTACAGGGCAGGACCACCTGAGGGAGCAGGGATTGAAGCAGGACTGTCAACACTACACTGTGCAACAGCAGGACCTCTCTAGTCTAGCACTTCTCATCTGCGGGTACCTTGCTGTCACCAGTTGGGAAGATGACCCTGAGAACTTCCCGATCCTCACGCATCCGCTCAAATTCCCGTTCCAGTTCATTCTGTATGTGTGCATTGCTCAGCACATCCTTTACCAGATCCTCCTGTAGAGTTCGCCGCAGGGCTCTCTCATTGGTATAATCAAAACGGAACCTGAAGGTGACAAGGGGGTGAAATTAGGGGACACATGGGCTTTGTGTTCTCACCCCCATAAGGTATAGTGTGAGTTTTTCCAATGTGCACAAATCACTTGGAAGGAACAGGGCTTTGGAGGCAAGGATCTTGTATAAGACCCAGACCCCAGGCCAGCTAATGGGACCCACACTTGTACTGTTTCTTTATGCTCTGTACTATTACTAGGGACAAAATAGGGGCCGATCTCAAATCCACCTCTGTATCCACTCTCTTCCCATGCAGCAACTATTTCTAATGGATGGAGAAACGGTGTTCTGAAAGTAAAGCCCGCTGCAGGATGCTTTAGGTCACTTCTCTAAGGCGAATAATTTAACACAGGCGCTATGGCCCAGGGGTGGGAACCATCTGTGTGCTGCCTCCTTACTTCTTCTCAAAAGCTTTGTTAGAAGGTTTAAGTGTAGCCAGATTCTGGAACTCAACGCTCTCGCCTGCGAGGCCGTCTTCTCCATAGCGCAGCTGAACCACTTGGTTGATGGAGTTCCGCACAGTTGCGTCATATTTCACCATCACCGACTCCATGGATTTTATCAGCCTTCGCTGAATATACCCTGGGAAAGGGAGTCAAGAGAAAGACCTGAGGCAAGCAAAAAAGTGACAGAGCTCAAAGATCTAGAGGACAAAATTCACCTTGGGGAACAGAAACCTATAGCCCAAGAATCCCCACCCCCAACTGCACATGCACTCCGAAAAGGCCTTACCAGTCTCAGCAGTCTTAACGGCTGTGTCGATGAGACCTTCTCGTCCTCCCATGGCATGGAAGAAGAACTCAGTGGGTGTGAGACCAGCCAAGTATGAGTTCTCTACAAAGCCTCGACTCTCAGGACCATAATCATCCTTGATAAAGTGAGGAAGAGTCCGATGCTTAAATCCAAACGGGATCCGTTTGCCCTCCACGTTCTGCTGCCCCACAACAGCAATGACCTAGGAAACAGAAAAAGAGGCTGCATAAAACTTTCGCTTGCCTTAAGAATAAAGCCAGGTGGTGGTGACACACATCTTTAATCCCAGCACTCAGGAGGCAGAGGCAGGCGGATCTCTGTGAGTTCAAGACCAGCCTGGTCTACAAGAGCTAGTTCCAGGACAGGCTCCAAAGCTACAGAGAACCCTCTTGAAAGCCCCCCCCCACC